CTGTGAGGGTGACAGAGCATTGGAACAGGTTGCCCAGAGAGGTGGTGGAGTCTCCTTCGCTGGAGATATTCAAAACCCGTCTGGATGTGATCCTGGGCAATGTGCTCTAGAGGTCCCTGCTTGAGCAGGGTGGTTGGACTAGATGATCTCCAGAGGTCCCATCCAACCTAAACTATTTTGTGATTCTGTGAATCCTTAGTTTTGTGTCATTTTTTACCATGAGAACAAGACAAGTTATGTGTGTGAATCCTTGCTCACCAGAAGGCTACACAGTTGCAAATCAGGAAGAGGCAAACAAAGCTAAGTTTACCTTTACATGGTGTTACTGATGGAGATGGTAGACTTGGAGTAGATACGGTTGGAGAATTCAGCTTTTCATCACTGAAGCTGAAACTATTTCTGTAGAGTGACTCTGCACCTGTAAGAAAAGATACATTATAAATCAAAATACCATGATTAATTCCTACTGCAAGTCTGCAATAGCAGCAAAGAGAGAAATGGGAGGTAGGGAACCTCCCAAGGGAAGTGTCAGCTTTCCCCACAGTCTGCATCAACCAGGAAAAATTACAGGAACAGGAATTATCCCACATCAGTTATATGAGGCATGGCCTGCCTGAGGTACAATATTCTGGGAAGTTTTGGTATCATGAACTTTTTTCCAAAAGCTGTAAAAAAACTAAATGAGGAGCTCTAGGACAGGGACAGTCTCCCAGAAGCACTGTTATCCTATAGCCTGTAATTGCACTGCTATTGCAGTAACAGAGCAAAAAGCAGGGTCTATTTCCGAACAGAAATGCCTGCATGCCTGATGCCATTCATTAATAACATCTTTCTCTGCTGCTGCACATAATCTGTCCAGTAAGGTCTGAATATGGCTGTGCACCTGAACAGGGTCCTGCACCTAGGGAGGAATAGTCCCATGTACCAGGACAGGCTGGGGGCTGACCTGCTGGAAAGCAGCTCGGCAGAGAAGCACACAGAGGTCCTGGTGAACAAGTTGACCATGAGTCAGCAGTGTGCCCTTGTGGCCAAGGCAGCCAATGGTATCCTGGGGTGCATTAAGCAGAGTGGTGCCAGCAGGTGGAGGGAGGTGATCCTGCCCCTCTACTCAGCCCTGGGGAGGCCTCACCTGGAGCACTGTGTCCAGTTCTGGACTCCCCAGGACAAGAGAGACATGGAGCTCCTGGAGCGAGTCCAGCCAAGGGCTACTAATTTAAGGACTGCAGCATCTCTCCTGTGAAGAAAGGCTGAGGGAGCCTCAGCCTGCAGAAGAGAAGGCTCAGGAGGATCTGATCAAAGCATGTAAGTATCTGAAAGGAATGTGTCAAGCAGTGGGGCCAGACTCTTCTCAGTGGTGCCCAGTGACAGCTCAAGAGGCAACAGGCACCAACTGAAACACAGGAAGTTCCCTTCTGAACCTGAGGAAAAACTTCTTTCCTAGGAAGATGCCTGAGCACTGGAACAGGTTGCCCAGGGAGGTGGTGGAGTCTCCTTCTGTGGAGACTGTGAGAAGCCATCTGGACACAACCCTGGGTAATGTGCTCTAGAGGACCCTGCTCGAGCAGGGGATTAGACTAGGTGATCTCCAGAGGTCCCTTCCAACCTCAACCATTCTGTAACTCTGATACTGTATTCTGCTAAATTCAGGGCCGAAAGCTCTGACTTGCTGTCTAATCAGCACAATCGCTGTGACATCCAACTTGGGCCACCTTTAACTGATGAACAGAGATCATCATCAGCATTGGCCTCACCCTGAAATGGAGCCCATGAAAAGCATAACATTCAGTCTAAGGGAGGGAAAAAGAATAACTGTTCTGCAATGATGTTTCTTACCAGCACTGTACAATGCAGTATGAACCCCAGCACATGAAGGGGCTGACAGTAACAATTAGAGATTTAACTTTTCTTCCTGAAATCAGCTTACGGGCCAGCTTTAAACCAGAACCACACTTCTTAAAAGCCAAGACACATGCCCCAGTGAACAAGAAACTTGCAACGGAAAGTTTTAGTTGTACTGGACAACCACTCCTACCATGAGGAAAAAGCCAAATAATTCATAGCACCTCACAGAAGTAGCCCTGTAGCCCAGAGTCCAGCGCACCAGAATACCGACAGAACAAGCTGTCTAACACTTCCCAGGCAGTTCATTTGAAAAGACCACAACAAGAACTTTTAATGATTCTATATTTTAAAGGTCACTGAGCTAACTGAATTAATAGATTAACCCACAGAACAAAGGCTATATAACTGAGAGTGTACTTGTAATATGAGAGCTATACTACTAGTATCCCAGGACACCAGGGACCCCGGGAATTTACATTACACACCACCACTTACCACACAGCAAATCTAAAGCTCCAGCTGCTTTTACACATTCCTGGAATAAAGTGTTTTCCTGAATACTTGCAAGGGCAACTCAAATTGGAAAAATCTTTACTCCATTAGCCCTTTAAATCAATTGAGGATTAGCCACACAATTCTCTGCATTCATACCTACGTACAGATCTGAGTCAGCCACCATCTTCAATTCTTGTTGTAGTTTTCTCTGTAGCCCTTCTGTAAGTAGCTGGAAGTACTGGCTACCCACCTTGCAAGGTACAGTAACCAAATTACATTGTTTCATTGAACATACGCTCTGTGGAAACTAATATGTCTCAGAAATACTTATACCTGCACAGAGAAAGACAAGACACAGCTCTGGCTTTTTAAATATTTGACATGCTTTTCTTCCAGGGCAGGAAAGCAGTTGCAACAGGTGAAGAGCTTTCACAAAGGTGTTACCTCCTGATGGGTAGTATTATTAACTTTTTCAAGAAAGCACCAATGCCTGTCTTTCTCAGCAAGCAAAAATTTACTTTAGCTACTAGCTTTGGCTTACACTTGCCACCAAGCAGCAGACATTCTCATTACGGAAGATGAAATGTATTCCCTCAGCTAGCAAGGTTATCATAACTACTGAAAACATACCCTTTCAAAAAACACTTCTGATGTCCACTGCACAAGACTTTCAGCTTTGCCAAAATACCAAATATGGCTCTAGGGCAGAACGCTCTGGCAGAAGCACTTCAGTCCTTGCTCTCTACCAGCTGCAACAGCCAAGATTTGCTCACTCACCTTCAAAAAAGGTCTCCACTGCCCAACAAATACAGCATAACCCCTGCAACCTAATAACTAGAACCTGGTGCCAAGGATCTCTCACCACTGCTGCCCATCCTCATCCAACCCCTTCTGTTCCACTGCAATGAGAGCTTATCATTCATTACTTTGTACCTCTGAAGTTTGTATATACACATAGGCAGAAGAATCAAGCTATGATCTCCAGGTGCCTTTACAAATACACTCTTCTAAAAGAAACCCTTAAAAAAGGTCCCAGTTGGGTTACCGAGTTGATCTACATGAGTCAGGCTAAGGCAACAGCTGCCAAATTAAAGATTGCCAAGTAAAATACATCCATGTTTACTGTAAAGGTAATCTGTAGTTAGTACTGACCTTTGCTGTTCCAGTGTACCGTTAAACCACACAGCCAAAACACCACTGCAATACCCTGTACGTATAGAATGTTTCCAGAAAAACAAACAACTGAAAGGTTCTGGACAGTAATTCACTGAAGCAGGAAAGCCCCAGACTTTCCCTTTTAAAACACGCAACGGAGAAGTGCAGCCATCTGACCTCAATATTATGTTCTTTCTAATAGCATAGTTCATTAGGATATCAGTTTAAGAAGCACTCATGGCTACCTCTGCTCCTATTGAAATCAGTGCAATTCTGCTGCTGCAATTTTCAGTGAGGAAAGTTTTAGAGAAACTGCATCCCTCAAGCTTTCAGAGAGCAGCCCTACAATTCCATTAACACATCTCTACAGATCATGAGTTCATCACTAACAGGTCAATGCTTAAGGAACAGAAGGTACAACTCATTCCCAGTCAAAGCATACCCTATCTGACTGAAAAGGGAAACCAGGAATTCCTAATGCCACCAGTAAACAGGGGAAGTGTTTATGGTATGAAGAGTTCATTTCACAAGGCATATGCTGCACCCTCAAGGAGGGTGCTTATTTTGATCATGCTAACACTTTGCTGCATTATTTAGAGCCTCCTGCCTCATTATCAACCATCTGCTCCAAAGCTGACACCAAAAAATCACCCCTTTTCCCTATCTCAACTTCTGGGCTTAACACTTTAAAATATTCCAAATCACATAATCACAAGTTACCAGAAAGTGATCTAGGAAGCTTGAGATTCAGACAAACAAGCATGCAGCATTATACGCTAAACTTACCACGCTGTTCCCTCACCACACTTCCTACTCGTGAGGCAGCGTATCTAATGCCAGTCTTCCCCTTTAATAAGGCTTCCTTCTATGGAGCAAAGCATAAGGCAGACAAGCAGGTATTCTGGATGTGCAAGAACAGGAAGTCTTATAGGAGGCAAGCATGCTTCTCCTTAAATTGAAAGGCCTGGAAAGCAACCTATGTACCTGAAACTTCTGGGTTTTCTTCCCCTTGAAGGTATCTGATGATGTCATAACACATTCTTGCTCCATACAAGTCTTATTATATCATATTCCTCTCTCATTGTTAGAGACAGGCCTTTAGAAGTCTGAGGAAGCAATCCACTTCCTGAAAATGCTCTTCTCTTTGTCACATAAAACTGGAATTGACTGTTAAGAACAAAGATCCACCTACTCAGTGCCCTGTCTCCGAGACAGACTCGGAGCAGACGCCTGCAGAAGAGCTTAAGAGTGGGGCAGGCAGCTTCCAGATACACCCTACCAATTTCTAGCAAAACACAGACCAACATACTTCCTAAGACACTAGCACCATCTTAGCCCTCACTAGCCCCTCATGACTTTTTTCATGACTATCTAGCTGCTTTGATAATGTAAACTTAACAACCACAACACCTCAAGGCAATACATCTTACAACCGAGATATACATTGTGTGAAGAAATAGTTCCTTGTATTTAGTTGAAATCTGCTAGTGTGATTTGATGTTCTCATACTGGGAGAGATGGCAAACAGTCATTTCTACTTCACTTCCGAAACATCCTAAGTGACGTTAGGGAACACTAGCTTGTCCCCACTGAAGTCATCTCTTCCAGGCTAACAGTCCTAGCCTGTTTAGTCATTTGGAAGCTAGCTCACACCTTCAACCATTTGCACTGTCCTTTCCTGCATCTTTTCCACATTTAGGTATTGCAAGATGGCAAACGTATCCTGGCTTTGCAGGATGACTGTGGCAGTACTAATATCAGCCAGTGTGTCCTCTTCAGCTGGCAGAGCCATTAGCACAGCGCCACACGCATGCATCCAGGGCATGTAACCATGAATGCTTGTACTATACTACACCAGATGTAGTGTGTTAACAGGAAGCAGCTCAACTCCTTAGTAACCCTGCACTGGCTCAGTTTTCAAATTAA